ATCAGTGCCCATTATAGTATTTGTAGAAAAGAGAAAGAAAAGCAACATTATGACAATGTGACTATGGTTGGAGGTTGGCTGCAAGAGCAGATCCAACTATATTTACAATGCGTTTTTGCACCTTGCCTAAGAGAGAAAGGACATTATTAGAAAATCCTCCTCAGATAGAATCTGTCCTTGTATGGAATACTATTGCCAATTCTGCACTTTTCTTCCAGTGAATATTCCTCCAAAGAGACCATTCTTCTTCTTTTATGAGAGTCTTCAAATTTTACCAGATTATTGGTCCAGACATCCTTGTTCTTCTGAATCGCTAGGCTTGTACGACGCTATGTGTTGCTTCTGTAATAACTATAAAATTAGATGAGCAGTTATATATAGTCTAAAATGTTCTAGAATATTCCAGAATGTTCTAAACTGTTCTAAAATGTTTTAAATTGTTCCAGAATGTTTTAAATTGTTCTAGAATGTTCTAAAGTCTTCTAAAATATTCTGTTATTTTCCAAAAAATCGAATACTCAAATTGGATGGTTTACCCAGCTAACACAAAACGTTCAAAAACGCTTAATGAACGTTGTGAATATTCAAGAACGTTCAAAGAACGTTCATAGAACGTTCTTGAACGTTCGCAATGTTTGTTGAACGTTTTGTGTTAGCTGGTTAGTTCAGCAGTAATCAACCTGGTTTCTACCGCCTATCGGTGGGTGATAGAAATTTTTTTCAGTATAGAAAGATATTTCCTTTTTTTAATGTTTACAATTTTTCTAAAAAAACAAACATTGAAAATGGTTGCTTTCATATAACTGCATTAGTGACAAAAAAACATCATATTAACATTAAAAATAAGCACATGGTTATTTTAAAAGTTTAATAGTTTTTTTTAACTTCTAATTCACTTGCAACAGGGCTGCAAGCTACCACTATTAAGTTCGCAGTCGTTAGAAAAAAAAAGTTAAAGAGCAAGGAAACGATTGATAGAAGTCTTGAAAAGTTGAAGGTTGTATGAATCAGGAAAATATGAAGATGAGAGAGTGTTCCAAAAGGTTAAAGTGTGGAGAAAAAAACTATACAAATAAAAACTATAAAAACTTTTTTAGAGATTGCAGGGACAGACACAATAAATGGATGCGACTCTGCCGAACAACGAGTCAAGCAGCTTTTTTCAAAAGAATTACGAAAACAAATCCTAAATTGGTCAACCGTTGCATCGAGGAGCATAGCTATGCATTGGCATATAGGCAGTTGTTAAGGGTGAACTATTCAAAGGACGTTTCAAATAGATTGCATATACCTAACTCGAATAATTGTTTTCCCAAAAAATGTGTGTTATTGCTTTTGTTATAAAGCTGTTATGAGAATAAGCATAACTCGTACGCGTACGCATTTACAAAATATGCTGAGCATACATCAAAACACAATTTTCGATGATTTCACAGGTTTCGTATTAAAAAATGAAATCATATCGAGTGAATACGGAAAAATCTGGTCAAATTTAAATTAAGATTTCTCTAAAACCACAAATGCTTTTTATTTCTTTTATTTTTTTAATTAAACGTTACTTCTTTATCTTTAACTGTCTTGATAATTTTTTGTTTACAAATCATGATTTTTAAAATGTTTCGGAAACAAATTGATGTGCGTAAAAAAGTTGTGAGTTTTTTTGCAAAAATCAATCGACTTCATATCGCTTGATTATTAAACGTACAAATATTCCAAAATCTACAGTCATAGATTGTATAAATAAGTTTAAGACTACCTGAAAGAAAACCTGTAAGTGGAAGAAAGAAAACTTTCCATAAATCCAAAAAGGTAAAGCCGATTTTACGTTCAGTAGCAAGAAATCCAAACCAGTCACAGCAAGATCTAGCAAGAAAATTCAAGACTTTGCGTTCTTTAATCAAAAAAGTACTTTAAGATGATGTAATTCAAGCATTTTATAAGAAAAATACACCTAACAGAAGCTTAAATGGTAAAACTAGAGAAATTCGACACGCAAAGAAGTTAGTTAGAATAATGGCTGATAAAAGTATGTGCATAATTGAAGACGACGAAACATAAGGCGGATTTTTCACAACGTCCTGGTCAACATTTTTACTGGGAGAACAAAAAAAATTTGCATACAAGTTTTTTGTGTGGCAAGCAATTTGTAGCTGTGGTATGCTGTCCTCTTGTTTTATCACTAAAAAGACCTTGACTGCTAATCTCTACATCAAAGAATGGCTTCAAAAAAGGTTTTTGCTATTTATAAAAAAACACATATACGATGTCTTTTTTAACAAGTTCTTTCTACTTCTCAATATTCTAAAACGTTCTACAGTGGTGCAAAAATAATAATGTGAAAATTGTTCCTAAAGATGCGAATCCTCAAAATCATGTTGAAGAACGCAAGATTGAAGATTTTTGGCCAATAATTAAAGAAATTCTTCTTAAATCAGGTGTAGTAATTAAAAATAAAAAAGACTTCCGAAAAAGGTAGACCAATGCCACCAATAAGACAAAAAAAGAAAAAATCTACAAAATGATGGCATCAACTTTTCGAATCACGGTAAGGAACTTCCTGGTTAAATGCACTTCCGCGGTGCTCTGTGGCAAGACCGTTAGTTCATCTTGGGGTACCTAAATGACGAAAAAAAAAAGAAAAAAAAATATACCAAAAATTATCATTGCAGGTTCATTTTCACGCTTCACGCCAGCCCCGAACCCCCTTTGATACTTTTTACCAGTTGCAATCAATCAATAATTTAAAACCAGGAATCCAGGTTTTTCTGGTGTATGGTCTTCTAATGATGGTCTGATTTGTTATGTATGCTTAAATAAAATATTGAACTCAACTTTTCAAGTATTTCTAAAAGATTATTTAAAAGAAAATGGAAAAAGATATAGAAAAACATGACAAGTATTTTAAAAAGCCTAGCGAAAATGATGTGTTTTGGATGTTTGCCTTTTTGACATCATCAATATAAAAGGCATGTGACTAGAAGATAAAAAATTACAAACATACAATTTTTAAGTTCAGGAGAAGTTAGTCACAGTACTAATACACAAGTGTCATTACATCCTTCAAAAGTCAGAGTTTGTATTGCAAAAGATTTTGACAAACAAAGTAAATAGTTATTTATTTAGCAGTTCAGCTAAATCAGAAGAAAGTCGTTCAGATTTAGATTCACACGACAGTTAAAAATTAAAAAATCAAGAAAAAGAGTATACAATAGAACCAAGTCAGCATCTAATCTTGTGAAAACTAAATCTTCAAGTACAAACAAATTAGATAGAATCTGTAAAAAGTTATATGAAAAAGTTTTTAAAATAGTAACTCTAAGTCAGACAGGAATATGAAGATCAACTATAAGGCAAGGTGAAAAAAAACAGAAAATTATTACTAAATAGTACAAGAAGATTTCTGTCTTTCATTTTGATGACCCTTGATTTCTTTCTTTTATTTCTGCCTATATTTTGATGCAAAGAAAATAAACAAGACTGAGGACCAAGTTGTGATTGTAACTTAAAAATGAGAATAATAAAATCAATTAAGGAATTGTTAAATGTGGAAGTGGAAAATTTCATGATATTTTTAAAGCTTTAAAAAAACTGCTAAACAATTTTGATTTATTACAATGGAAAATTAAAAGGTAGTTGTAAAAGTACAAAATGAAATGGAAACCAGAGGCTTTACTAAACCACAATATTTAGAATGTCACATGACATGATGTCACATATCATATACTGGATCTCATTTTAAAACATGTATTGAATTATTTTGTAAATTATAAATCAATAACTCCTGGTTTTGATTATAAATTTGTAAAGGATTTAACCAAAAATTATGAAAACCTTTAAACAATTATACTTATGAAGCTGAGCCTAATTATTACATAAACCAAGGAGGTGAGATGACTTCAAATTCCTTAATGAGTTATGTGAAGCTTTTTGTTACTTCAAGAATCAAAAAAGATTACCAAAAATTAAGTGGCATAAGCTTCATCCATTGCACAGCGCAAGATAGAGCTCTAGAGCATCATATGTTCTTTTTGCCTATTTTCTTACTAAAATGAAGGTGTGAACTTGAAAGTGCAACAACCTTTATTGCAAATGAAAAAAACTTTGGTTCAGCAAACAATTTTTTGAGGATAAATCCACTTAGGATCAATAAAATGTATTTAAAAACATGTTGTTTTTAAATACCTAATATATTTTACAGTTTGTTAAATTTATTTTTGTGGCTGTTTATAAATGTAGCGTATATATTATAAATAAGCGTTACATCCCAGTGGGCACGGAAGTAAAAAAGACGTCTTTTAAACGTCTTATACACGTTTTGGACGTCTTTTGAACGTCTTTTGAACGTTTTGGACGTCTTTTGAACGTTTAAAAAACGTCTTTTTTAGGTCCAGTGCCCACTGGGATGTCCTCATGTAATATATGAAAAATCAAATTATTAACAAGGGGAGGGGGGTAGAGATGTATTTTTGCAACTAGACAATCAATAAACATAAGGTATTGACTCTGGAACTGGTCTTAACTAGTTTAACGCAATCATTTTGAAAAATTTGAATATTGCCGTCAATGTGCATGCCATATGGTTTAATACAAGCAGTAGCAGTATTAAAGATAAAATCATTGCAATCAACATTGCAAGCAAGTTAAACTATAACTTTCAAATTAATCTTTTTTTTTTTGTAGACATGTTATTATCCAACAAAAAAAACAAAATTTAGATTTTTCTTAAAAAATGACGGCTGATTTGCAAACTTTTTTATAAAGACACTCCCATTTGTCAGTTTGTTCTATAAATATATCAATCATTGAAATTTCGAGTGTTATGGTTACTAGATAAACTCTATTAAGTTGATAATTGTCAAAGGATTAACTTTTTTTTTAACTTTTTCTTAAAACAAATCTTTTTAAACTAGATTTTTAAATCATTTGTAAACAAATTTTAGTAAGACAACTTAAAGTAAAAAATTTAAAGTAAAGTAAGACAAAATAAAGATTTGAAAAAAATGAATGCATCACGAAAAACAAGTAAATTTGAAATTTTAAATGACAATGATCGCTCCGTAGCATACAACTTAGAACGGCGACGTTCGTCTTATATTGATAACTGGGCGCGACAATCTTTTAGCGTTCGAGCAGACCTTTATTCCACAATCGAAAAGTCTTTACCTGATATTCCATCTGATGATCGACTTTCAAGTAACTTAATTACTGGAATGAGTATGCAAAGTATGATTCTAGGTACCAGTCTTCTTAGTATACCTTACTGTGTCAAGTTAGCTGGAGTGTGGGGAATTATCTTGATTATACTAATTGCCTTTCTAACAACTATTACTGCCGATATGCTTGCAGAATGTCAATATCAAGAAAGTCGCAAAAAATTTAAAAAGCGAGTTCATTCATCCTTTGTTGACATGTGCACGGCTTGCTTTAAAACAAAAGGAAAATATTTGATGGAATTTTTAGTTTATCTAAGCTTGGTTCGTAATGTTGTGGTTATTATTTTGTTATCTGATCTTACTGACGAAGTTCTCAAAACATTTCCAAATGTACATTATGATAAAAACATTCTCCCAGTTTTTTGGACACTTGCTGTCCTTCCACTTTTATTTGTGTCAAAAGTTTCAAAGTTAGCCTGGTTCACGTTCATCGGAATGATACTTTATCTATCATCTATAGCTTTCATGTTTGGAATATTCTTGACTACTACTCGCTCGTGGTCTCATATCTCTATTTCTTCACATTGGGATTTTAAAGATGTTGGAATAGCTATTGGAATAATAATAAATTCTTATGCTGTTCATATGAATCTTCCTTCTCTTGAGGGAAGTATGAAAACACCTACTTCTTACACTCGCGTAACCAACGTCAGTTTTGGATTAAACGTGGTTATTAAATTGATTTTTGGCATTTGTGGTTATTTTGCCTACAGCAACAATACATTTGATGAAATTACGCGAAATATTGATAATCAAAAATTTTTTTTGCTATCGTATATTATAAAAGGATCTCAAATTGTTTTTGCTTATTTTACAATACCTCTTCAAAGTCACGTGGTATTTGAGCTTATGGATTTAAATTTTAGGCATCATTTCCCAATTTTTTCAGGCAAAGATCAATGGTGGACACTCCTTTCTCGTTTAACAATAATGACAGCTTTGCTTTTAATAGCATTGCTTATGCCTCACTTTGGGCTTGCAGTTAGCATAATCGGAAGTGTTCGTGGAAGTCTTATTGCACTTGTCCTACCCCCTCTATTTTATATTAATTTAAAAACTCACTCTATGTCTAAAATCAAAGTATGCTTTTGTTATGTTACGGCATGTTTAGGCGTGTTGCTTGGTTGTGTCGGCCTATACTCTGCTATATATGATTTAGTCAAACATTCTGGTTGAATAAAATAAAGATACCTAAATAGCTTATATTTTTAAAATAAAATTATTAAAATACTTTTTCTTTTATCTTTTTAATCATAAAAGTATTACTTTTTTATTTTTTTATTAAATTTTAATATTGTTGAGTTTTCCTGCCCTTCATAAAAAATAATTTCTGGGCAGTTCGGCCTTGCAATAGATTATATATTTTTAATGTTTAGTTCATTTTTATAAAAATAGTTAAAATTTTTTAATAGTCATGGCCATCCTAACCATAAAAAAACAGTTGCGTAACTTTTCTCGGCCTCAAAAACTGTTCGACGTAAGTTTTCCAAATTTGACTTGTCAAATTTGGAAAACGATCTTGTTTTTGAAAAACTTTAATTTTTAGTATTATAAATAGTCTACGGTATATTAAAAGGAAAACAGGGCAAGATACCGAATGGATCAATATGGCTTTTCATATACTCAACAAAAAGATTGAAAAGAGTTAAAAACAAAACTGTATTTGTATTATATATATAACACCATTTGCTTTATTTAAATTTTTTTTTTTTTTTTTTTTTTTTTTGCGCTTAAAAAATAACAACGGTTTTGGTTACTGCTAATAGATGGTATTGTTCGGATGTAATTTTATAAGAATATTTTTTGCAACGCATGTTTATTTTGTGTTACTATTAACGTTTTTTTGTAAAAAAATAAAACAAACGATATCAAACAATAAAGAAAGGCTAAAAGTTAACATGGAGTCTTAGTCCGCCTAGTCCTAATGGAATTTCAATTCAAATCGTTTTGGAAACAAAGTATTTTTAATAATTAAAATAATAATCAAAGCCAACCTTGGCATATCATTACGTTTGATTAAAAAGTATACTTAGCTATTAGTTTTAAAAATCACACACACACACACACAAACACACACACACACACACACACATATATATATATATATATATATATATATATATATATATATATATATATATATATATATATATATATATATATATATATATATATATATATATATATATATATATATATATATACATATATATATATATACATATATATATATATATATATATATATATATATATATATATATATATATATATATATATATATATATATATATATATATATATATATATATATATATATATATATATATATATATATAGAATGTATGTATGTATTTAACGGTGTTATTAATTAAGAATAATTTATCAAAAGTTTATTGAATAAAAAAACATCCATATATAAAGCACATATTTTAGAATTAGTTAATTACAAACTTTTTTAACATATATATTATCACCATGATTACTTTTCTTCGTAATACTTATCTCCATATTACTTGTTGAAATTGCGGGTAAAATGCATAAATATTATAACGAGGTTGAATTGCTATTGCAAGCCAATAAAGTGTTACTTTTTGGTTGGTGCATGTAATTACAGAGTTGTCATATTTGGAGATACTGGTCGGACATTTATCAATAGTACCTTCTCCTTTATTAAAAAAATAAAATAAAATAAAAAAGATATCAGCAAACTTATATATAATAAAACCAAAATAAAATTAAATATAACATATAAAATAAAAGTTAATGAACAAAAACGTTCAAAATTTACTATTATATTTGCTGAATCAAAGTTTAAATAGAAAATAAGAAAAACAGTATTTTGTTAAAATATTAAATTTATTAAAATATATTTTATTGGTGTCTACCAGGGATGCGGAATACGAATAAAATACTTGGTCGGCTGAATAAAAAAAAGCAAGTGCTTTTACTCAGGATTTTTGGAGTAACTGTTCAGCTTAACGTGAATAATTGTTATTCACGTAAAGCTAAACAATTTACTCCAAAAACGCTGAGTTATTATTCAGCTTTATGTAAGTAAACGTTTAAAAAAAATTTCTGAAGTTTTTATTCACGTAAAGCTGACCAATTACCGAGTAAAAGCGATAGCTTTTTTTATTTACCCGGCCTCCAGTGTCGATATTTTAGTGACTACTTAAAATTAAGACATCATAACTTCCTCTCTGTCTTGTTTGTAATTCTTTTTATTTTACCAAATTTTTTGAGAACACAGAATTCTTTTAGCAATATTATTTATCAACCCAAAAAATTAAAAACCAAAAGATATCGGTAGTATCATTAAACTTTTTATAAATAAATTAAATGAGCGACTAAGATGGTTTTAAACTTCAATGTTTTTATTTTTTATGTGATGTAGTCCCCGGTTTTTTTTAAAACTTTGACGAATTTTGATTCTTTTCTTAATTACAAAATCATATTAAATGTGTTGTCCGTGCACCAAATATCCAAGCATTTAACATTTTAGTATTTTAAAGTCGCTTAGTCCTAATGGAGTTTTAATTCAAAGCTGGTATTTTGGAAGCAAAGTGTTTTTAATAATTGAAATAATAATCAAAACAAATAAAATATATTGAAATACTAAGCTAATTGAAACTTCGCAAAACAAAATATTTATGGCAAAATTAAATGCATTTCGATGCAAGCGTTTCTCGGTGACAAAATTTTTTTTTACGAATGACAATTAATTCATACTTGCATGACAACTTCGTAAAGTGTAGCAAAACATCAAAGTAAAAGTGTAAGGTGAAAGATTTATTATTCGGGTAGATGAGTACTTTAAGATAATCTTAATATAAGAAATATTTACTTACGTCAACTTACAATTTAAGTGAATTAAAATTTACTTAAGTAAATATTACTTATGCTAATAAGTACAAAAAAAAGACCTTTTTTTTACGGTGCATTAATACGATAGATGTTTTAAGTTAACTTAGTTTAAGACGACATAATAAACAATCAACAAAATTTAAAAAATTTAGAAATAAAATGAATGAAACAAAAGTCTATTAACGTAAACAATAGGGTCGCCGTGTCAGTACTGAATTCTAAAGAAAACTTGTTAGATCTAACACCTGTTGCGCTTTTCTAATCGAATCAACAGTTCGACATTAAAATAATAGCAAAATATCAAATATATAATCAGGAGTAATTAGGAGTATATCTTTTAAGTTCTTTTATTTTTAAATCTTAGACATTAAAGTTTTCTCCTATAAATTTAAGACAACAATAAATTCTCATATTTTGATTTAAGTACCTTCACTCTATCATGGACTTTTTTGTATTTTATTGTCTTAAAATTTCTTTTAATTCTTTTAATAATTCGTTCATTTAATACGAACCAAAAATTTTAGCATCAAATATTGTTAACGTTTTTTCTAATTTAAATTAAAGTCAAAAATTTTAAACTTGAGTACAAAGTTTGCATTTTAGTATTGCAAATAAATTTTCAATATTATTCACAAAAACCGAACTTATGACAGATTAAAAATGTAGCTATTATCCACTACGGAGATTACCACGGTTATATATAAGGTTAACAAGTTTTTGTTTGAAAGCTAGTAAAAACTCTTTTAAATTTATACGAATATTTTTATGTAAAAAAAGTGAGAAAACAAGATTTTCATCCCATCTTAAATCTGAATTTCTTAAATTAAAAATTTTAAACTTATCAACCTTGAAAATGAAAATGGAATTTAAAATGTTATTTTAACATCAAATTTTAGGCTCAAATTAAGTCATCTTTTTGAC